GGGGGGTACTTGACTATCACAATTTCATATTTTCCGATGCCCCTTCCCCCCTCACTTGCGCGATAAGCACATGCCAAGGAAGCCATTACCAGGCGCGGGCATCTCTAGCAGTACCGCTAGTTAAGTGATGTGCAATTAATTACCCGTCCCAATCCCACTGCCCCATCTCCCACCACGTATTACACTAGACACACATTGAGCTTCGTGCAAGATGATGGTGGGCTGGAAACGCGTTTCGAGTCGTTGTCCACTCACTGCAAGATGCCCTTGCGAACACCTCTTCATACGGTTGTGCAAGGAATTGAGTAATATGACTTTCCGGTGGCCTATAGGCAAAATCACATGGCATCGGCCGGCGGCACGCGAGAGAGAAATTCCGAAGGAGTCTGTGCTGCCGCTCTCTCGGTTCGTCCTGACCTTGTCCGGGCCGTGACCGTGGCCGTGGTGCGATGCGGTGGACCCCGCGCCAGCAGTCCGCCCAGAGATACAGCAGGTTCGGGATGTCCTTCGCTCCCGGTTCACATTTTCCAGTGCGCGCCGTCGCCACGTGCGAGTCGTCTACAACACCGCGGGAGGAGCCCAAAAAGTCAATATTTATCAGTTTGGACGACCTTGGCCGCGAGAGAATCCTCTGAGTCAGCCAAGCCCGAGCCGCAGACTACAGGGAACCTTTGAACCGCCACGCGGCGCCCCGAAGAGGCAAACCCCAAACCCCTCCCCTTCTTTTTTAAGCGCGAGCAGCTTCTCACCTGCGTGCGAATGGCTCTGCACATCTACCGAGTGAGTCACAGACTGACAGATAAACACTTGAAAAGTGCATAACAAAATATCATATTTAACAAGTGTGTAACAGTCAAGTCACACACAAAAGAGTGGCACACACCTCTATGTGTTGTACAACAGCAGCAGCGGTCACGCAGTCACCGAGGGAAACATTTCCAATCCACTCTTCAAAACAACAACAGAGAGTTCAAATGTACAACGCGCCAAAAAGGCGGCGGCGGCAGACCTGCACGATGAAAGTTTAATACGGTCGTTAGCGTTTGCCATTTTGAGAGTGACGCGAGCTGTTGGGCTGATGGATCAGAGACAGACGGGCGTGCACGACCTCCAGGGAAAGGCAAAGTGCGCCACCATGCCACCATGTCACACACCTTCAGCTGAGCGAGCGAATTCAATCACATTGGTATAGGTCCGCGGCGACTAATTCACACTCTTAATAACTGCAGGTAAAGCAATTGTCATTTTCAACGCTTTTGGAAAGATAGGCCACCCCAGGAAAGCATGCTCTTGACCCCTGATTTCTCAAGAACATTTGTATCAGGCAATGCAATTTCCATTTGCACCAATGCAATTTGCATTGGGACAAGACAATGTTCTCGGTTCAGCCGACCACATTTACTTCACTCAAGAACATGCTTTTTTGGGTGAGATCGCGTGCAACAGTTTGGGTCATTTTGCTCATCTGCAACAGTGTAGGAGAAGTGTGCAAATCGAAGCTTCCAAGTGATATGCCGTGATAGACAACTTGATTTGCACACAGAGCTCGCAGAGCTCACGACACATATGCTATCGTGTTGTCAGGAGCCGCCGAGACCACACACCACCCTGGTGACAGCGGACCCCATCACAGACAGCTGCTGCGCGGCACACCAAACAATCACTTTAAAAAAGAAAGAAACACGGAAGGACACACGTTTAAAATCAAAACAAAATAAAGGACTTGTCTGCGTGTCCATTTTTTCCCTAAGAAAAAAGTCTTCAGCAAATCTCACCAAATCCGGAACGCGGGTACACTTTCCGAACGTTTCGATTTACCACACGCCCAATATAAAGTTCGTAACAGACTCCCGCGAAACAAAAACAACCATAAAAGGTACATGTGCGTCTGCGCGCGCTGAGATTACCATCTCGTTAATTATTCAGTACCCAAAATTTCTCGATTGTGTTCCCTGATTGTCTCAAAATTTTTCCATTGCGGCCAAAGACAAAAGAAAACAAAGAGAAAAATAAAAACCGAACACACCAAACGAACACGAGGCAACGCGAGAAGCGAAACGTGCGGGGGACTGGCGTCGAGCCTCACTCAACACATATTTCAGTTCATAAACGGAAAAAATATCAAGCACATGACTAATTAACAGGCCATCCGCCCCCATTGGCGCTCCTTGATTGCCAGGCAATCGGCTGTGAACGTGTCAGGAGTCAGGATCTTTCTGTGGAAGACGAAACGCGAAGCGCTCCGAACAGACCAGAAACATGAGAATCCAGACGAAGAAAGGAAACGCCTCGGCAATAAGGGCCGCCATCGAGCGTGACGCAAAACGAGTGTATTTTTCCATTAGCCCAAAACGCGGGCTAAAGGTGAGGTACGGGGCGGGCTGAACCACTTCAGACTACACGCGTATTACTTTGTTGCTATGGTAGCCAGCCGCACGCGGGAAAGACGTTTTGCAGTCAACAGGCCGAAAGGCGCGTTTTGCGGTCACGTTCCTTCCGACCAGAAGCATGGGAAGTTTTGGCCGCAAGCGGGTTGTCGATTCATGCCGCCTTTTAGAAGGAGGTAGCGCGCGCACCGCGTGGGCCATACACAAAGAAATGCTGCGGAAACGGCCTTTTCATTTCTCAGCGCGCATTATTCACTGGCAAAAATTTTGCACTACAGTCAACCAAATGTGTCCACAGTTAAGGCCGAGAGCGCAGGGTGCGTGCTCGTTGCGCTTTCTTATTGAAGTGAACACAACACTCCATGTAATAAGGCTTGTGTACCTCTGTACCTCAAAAGTGCGCACTCAACCAAGTACGATTGGGCAGCCAAGGATTAGTCCAGTTGGACCAGAGTGCCCCATGCACATTTTTCCTGACAAAAGTTCGAACATGTGGGGGGTATATGGAGAAGCGCTTAACGTAACGAGAGGGCTTATGATGAGGTGTTCCCCGGAGAGTTTTACAGTACGGCTCCACTTCTGTTGGCCGAGTCCTCTGCACCAGATCGCTATTTAATTGCACGCGGCACCGGGGTCGGGCTCCTGGGATTAGCGAGCGGCTGGGGGGTGGG